GCGTTGCCACAATTAACCATAATAATAAATCTTACTTGATATCTGCTTCTTTGTCATTAGTTTATCAATTTGAGTTTAACTACTCAGGTCACAGATGCTTGGCCAAAAATCAAACTCATCTCTTCACTATTATTTTAAGGCTTGTCTGTCATTTTTATCAGCTTCAGCTCAAGCTGCAGCAAAGACATGAAAGTAATGAGTCTGTAAGAAGTCAGAGGTTAAAACATGCAGATTAAGCTGACAGTACTGCACTGACATGCTGCAGGAAGAAGAAGAGGAAAGCAAACTCTATTGACAAATTCTCGTTTCATCATAGAATGCATTCCTACAGCAGTGAACTGAGCAGGGTTCAGTTGGAAGCGGACTGATACCCGGGGGTTTTGCCGGACCGGTTCAGCTGTTTGATGTAGTCCCGAATATGGGTGGAATGTGCACACGCGTCAAAACGGAGTGAACTAATGAAAAAGTTCGATAGGTCTGAGAAACTGCGATGTTTTTATTTAGACGTCTTTACCGGCCCCCTACGAACTACTGTCTCCTCCTGAGTACAGGCCTGTAGACCAGTAGATGGTGCTTCACAGGTTGAGAAACGCTTCGTGTATTCAGAATTCAGCCATCACTACTATTTTCAGAGTATTTTGCCCAACCGTAGATGCCCCCCACATCTACCTAAACTAATCTAGGCCCTTTCCAACATCCACCATAGACAGAGCACACACCCCACACACCCACTGCACATATTTGGAAAAAGAAATTGTTATTTTGCAATACAAATGGAGTGAAAAGCTAGAAAAACTCTGCCTTTCTGCTTGATCAGAAGTCTCTGGATGTTTCAGAGACAGCGGCGTAGCCATGCAAGTAAATACCCGCCCCCCAAGTGGTAGCTTTCTTTCACTTTTTTAAGCTGTTATTTTCTGTCAGGAATTGGTCTTCTGTGTGAGATGTCAAATTACAGAGGTTTGATGGACTGCAAGTCAGAACCCAGCTGTAGTTGTAACATGTTGCTCCCACTTTGTTAAAAAAAAAATTGCTTGAGCATCATGCTTTGTATTTTGTGCCATGCACATGCACACAGTGTTCTTCACAAGATGTAATACATCAAATTTTCTGAGGTATTATCACCCTCTACTGGGCTGGCGTGCTCATGTAAGTGTTTTTTTTTAGTCATTTTTTGGTTTTTCACATGGATGGAGGAAATTTTTGAAAACTCTTTGTCTTGGAATGGACAAAGATTTTTAAAAATAGAAAAAATAAACTACATTTTTAAAATATCTGGATATGTGTGGATTGGGTCTTAGTCTCCCTCTTTTTCTGTTTCTTATTTTCCTCTCATCTTTTCTTCACCTTTATTATTTTTTGAATACCCAATACCTCTGAGGCCCCAAGTCCATGTTACAGCTGTGTTTATCAGTCTAACACACATTAATGGTTTCTGTTGTGCCAGTCCATGGTCCCTCCATATACTGGGAAGCATTATAAAGCCTGTTCTTCCTTTTTGAGGATCAAATTATGGTGCATTCCCTTAGGCAGTTCATAAAAACGTGCTGGAGAGCAGTGTGGACTCATTTTAGATACAGTTTTATCCAGTTATTAATACAGAATGAAGCTGACTACCACCTGTAAAGAATACAGAAATCTCCAGATTAAGAATAATGCTCAGTTGCTCAGTTGATTGTGTCTCCTGTCAAGAGAGCCCTTGCTGTGCTGTATCAGTCCTTGAGGGTCCATGAATTCATAATTCTCCTGCGGAGGGCAGCACAGATTACTGAATAACACAGTGCAAAGAGCCAACAGTTTCTCTCTCTCTCTCTCTCTCTCTCTCTCTCTCTCTCTCTCTCTCTCTCTCCCTCTCTCTCCCTCTCTCTCTCTCTCTCTCCCTCTCTCTCTCTCTCTCTCTCTTTCTCCCCTTCTCTGCCTCTATCCCTCCTTCTCCCTCTCCCCTTTCTCCCTTTCTCTCCTTACTTTCTCACTCCCTTCTCCATGCTGCCCCATTGGATTGAGCACATAAATTTAAAATTAGTTCCTCAGTTGTATTGGCAGGCTGTGTTACAATAATAAAAATACAGCCAATCATTTTAAAATGATGTGTTAATTTTGCCTTGCAACGTCCACTTGATTGGTCAAGGGAGTTTTCTGACACATCCTGAGCCAGTATTTTTCTGTGCTGCAGATTAACTAACGGCAGTGCTCTGAAAATAATGGAGATTTTGGAATCCACAGTGGCTCTGTGATTTTTGACCCTGCAGACAGTTGTGCAGACATGTAGCTATCAAAAAGTATAAAGTATACAGTAGAAAAATAGTTTCATTTTTAATAGGAATATATATATTTTTTTATTCAGGGTAAATTATTGGCCAGCGCCCTCACAGCCATATTGGACGAAATGCCCCTGCTCCAAACTCAGTATGCACACTTGCAAACACATCATTGTTCACAACCCTTTCCACCACCCTCACTTATACATACAGACCCAGATACATACACACACACGCGCAGATCCTTAGCAGAACCTCAGCGAACCCTAACATTTATCCTAATGACAACGACAAAACAATTTGCTGCAAAAATTGGCACATATTTTATTTTAACAATATGTAATAACATCTGTCATTTTTTAAACAAGTACCACATTTTTAGATGTGGCCAAAGTAGATTTAATAAACTGACAAACTTTAAACTCCCAGTTTAAGAACTACTGTGTTACAACACTCCACACAAGCAAGGTGCAGTAGAACTGCAAAAGTACAACTTTTATCTTAGCAATGATTCACATGCAGGCTTGACAAACTATTTTGAAGCACATTAAATACTGCAATTTTCTCTTTGACAAATCCACATTTCCACCCGACAAAAAGTCTTTTCTTTCCACCGCACCATAGTCAGCAGTGTGCTTGATACTTACAGGACCTGAGTGCCTGTTCTGAGTATCACTCGCTGTTACTGTGTGGGTTGCTGATGACGACTCTCTGTGCGCATACACGTGTGTTGCTATTGCATGTGTGTGTGGCATTGCTTCCAAAGTGTCACACATTGCATCAGGCAATCAGATGTTAAACCACACAAAATATCTGTAGCTAAAAAGGCTTCCAGATCCTTCACCTGCCTAAATACAGCAACGTTAGTATGGAGAGCAGAAACATTATCTTTTTTTAAATGTTTTGAACTGCTTTTCGATCATCTCCCAGTGCTCATCAGAGCTAGTTCCCTTTGTAGATCTCTGTGTCATGTCACAGTGCCACTGGCCAGTTTGGGAGAACAAAGGCTCACATACAGGGGGTGAAGCTTGTCATTGCATCATGGCTTTTAATTTTTGGACATTCAGTCTGCGTGACGTATAGAAGAGGGGCTCTGCCATTTTTTCCACTTAACGAGAGTGTGGCCAGTCAGTGTTGTGACAGACAGTATATGGTAACCGCTGGGACTCGAATTGTAGAACTTCAGTCAGTGTAGAAGAATTCCTTAAAGCCCCAGAGAACCTGAATCTGTTGCTTTCAAATTAGGTGTATGTACCATGTAGACCCTACATAATTTTGTCTACATTTACTTCAGTGCCATAGAAGGCTGAGAGTCTTGGACAGAGGCATGTCAATCAATCTGCTCATTATAATATTAGACCGCACCCAGACATTTCTTGGCTAGGTCTGATTAGTGAATTCAGCTGGTTTTCGAGCATTTTTTTTTCCGTATTGTTATATATACAGTATTTTACAAATGTAAGAGAATATAGTTTCATATATCGTATGCCAAAGAAATGAAAGACTCTTTGAACCATGTCTACAACCACTTATCAAGCATAATGGAGGATAAGTGCAGGGTTAGGGATGTATAACAACATTTGTAATCAGTGATTTATTTGTGATTGAAGGCGTCAGGTTTGCTGATAACAAATTCTAATACATCATGCAACACTCTGGAAAATGTATATGAATATATGAAAAATTCTTATATTCTTAAGTTGTTGAGACCTCTGTGTGTATATATTCTGTATGTGTGTGTGTGTGTGTGTGTGTTTTATGTGTGTGTATATATGTATATATATATATATATATATATATATATATATGTGTATATATATATATATATATATATATATATATATATATATATACACATACACATACACCTACAGGAGCTTTTATGACATCCCATTTTAAATCCTTAGGCATTAATATGGAGTTGGTCCCCCCCTTTGCAGCTGTAACAGCTTCCACATATATATATATATATATATATATATACACATACACATACACCTACAGGAGCTTTTATGACATCCCATTTTAAATCCTTAGGCATTAATATGGAGTTGGTCCCCCCCTTTGCAGCTGTAACAGCTTCCACACTTCTGGGAAGTTTTCTACAAGATTTTAGAGTGTGTCTGTGGGAATTTTTGCCCATTCATCCAGAAGAACATTTGTGAGGTCAGACACTGATATTGGATGAGACGACATGGCTTGTGGTATTCATTCTAGTTCATCCCAAGGGTGTCAGATGGGGTTGAGGTCAGGGCTCTGTGTGGGCCAGTCAAGTTCTTCTTCAAAAAATCACCTAACCATGACTTTATGCACCTTGCTTTGTGCACTTGTGCACAGTCATGCTGGAACAAAAAAGGGCCTTCCCCAAACTGATCCCACAAAGTTGGAAGCAAAATAGCCCCATGGCATTATCCCTCCTCCACCAAACTTTACAGTTTGCACAATGCAGTCAGGCAGGTAATGTTCTCCTGGTATTTGCCAAACCCAGACTCGTATATCAGACTGCTAGATAGATATGTATATATATATATATATATATATATATATATATATATATATATATATATATATAAATATACACGTGTGTGTATGTGTGTGTATGTATGTGTGTGTGTGTATGTGTGTGTGTATATATATATATATATATATATATATATATATATATATATATACACACATATAGTTGTCTTACTGAGGATTCTAATTGACCTAAACTCTTTCTTGTGTGTGTGCGTAATCATACAGGAGTAGCGGAGATAGAAACAGACACAGGGCGGCACGTAATGCACGAATGTCTGCACCCTCCTTTGGTCGATTTGTTCCCAGGTAAGCTCAGTCACTCCAGGCCTCTGCTTATTTCTTTTATTTTATTTTATTTTATTTACATGTATTTTATTAGCAATGCAATGCATCATGCAATCACCCTCTGTAGGCGTTTCCTCCTTCCTGAATATCTGCCTTATGCTGGAATCTTCCATGAAAGAGGACAGCCGGGCCTGGCTACACACTCCTCGGTCAACAGGGTTCTGGCAGGTACACATCCTCTTATTTCAGCATAAAGGTTCTGGTAGGTCCAAAGCCTAACTACTATTTTGCTGTTATAATAATGAACTGTTATATGGGAGCAGAAAGCCTGTAAGTGTCAATGAGTAGCAGGTTAAGATTAGCTGAGCTGGAGCAGGTAAGTGTTCGCTCGACAAGCCTCTCACTCTGGCCCACGTGCCACACACTCCGCTCCACGTGTTCCAGGTAGCACACAGCACCAAACCCACACACACCAAACACAGCTCTCACATGAAACCCAAATCCCCTGGTGCTATTTCTATGGGAATTGTTTGTAGCTGTGTTGGTCTGTTTAAGCAGCTTTAGGCCATGGATAGATGAAATTGTCTGGTGTTAGCTACTGGTTTTACCTTATTACCATTAGAAGGCTAAAGTTCAAATCCTATTAAAAGGAATAACCACTTTTTCACTATTATTTGTAAAATGAAATTATAAACAAAGTCATTGGTGTCTGATGTGAAATGCTTAATTCTAAAGAAACCTGCAGTCTGAATTCTTCATAGTAGCAGTGGTAGGAACTAGGGATGCACAGTGATATCTGAATGATCGGAATCGGTGAATAATAGCTTAAAAAACGAAAAGATCAGCACTGGACAGATGTTTTGATTGAACCAATATTTTAAAGTGATTTTGATGGTGTATTTATTTTACTACAGCAGAGCATTTAGGTGATGCTGGGCCACTGCCCTAAATTGACTGTATTTTATTCATTTTGCTCCATTAAAGAGATGAACTTTATATTTCTCTGTAGTATTAATGTAATATTAATCCATATGTATTTATTTTCAATGTATATGTTTTATAATGTTTATGTATGGACCTCCGCATGGGCAGATATGAAAATAACAAATATTGGATATTGGCATGGGGCCATGATTCCCATATTGGTGTGTCTCTAATAGGAACAAGACGTCCAAAGCTTTTAATGCCTCACAGAAAGTTATCACTGAGACAGTTATAAATATGCCACCTCTTACCTGAGACCTGTTTTACGATAGATTTGAGATAGAAGTTTTGGCCTGAAACATATTTAAAAATATATGTTAATGGCAGAAGAGCACATGTGGGGCATTTTGAGGCAAAATATTACCCAAAGAAACCTTTTTAGATTTACCACTATTTTACCTTTATCAGCATCCACCAGTAACTTTGGATAGTAAATAAAATGGCAATTTTTGCGACATCATGATCCCTGGTTATTTTCATCACCACTGTTAAGAAATCTGTCAATAAGTTTCTCAGCAATTAACTATTTGACATCAAACCACTCCAAATGACTGTTCTCGGTGACTGAATTAGGATATTTTGACAAACCTGTGGAGTTCACCTTTAAATATGCTATATATCGAATCAAATCATGAGCTGAATGTACTGTATTGTTACACCCCTATTGTTGAGTACAGGACTCACGGCTACAAATCTGCTGTTTTGAGATGAATTAAGTAGAGCTTTCCTGCAAATTTGTTTGTCTTCTGTTCTTTGGCCATCAGACTGCTGACAAATGGCTATCATTGTTACTACAAAAGCAATCTTGAATGCCTCTGAGATGGCCACTACCTCCTGAATGTTCAGAGGTATGATCATTGGCTGCTTCTAAACCTTTTTTTGCATAGTCTCACTCCATCACACTGTATACACTGTCTCCCTCTCTCACTCTCCCACACAAATAGCCGTTTCTAGCCCACGCTAATTGCAGAAAGCGATCTGAGGTTCAGAAATGCCCCTCTCCAAACGTTCTCCAGCTCGCACAGGGGAAAATTATGCACTCCACAGGACTTCAGCTCGCTCAGACGCGCTGTCCTCTCCTTTGCTCTGCTCCTCTGCTTGGAAATTTGCTTGGAAAAATGGTTGTCATGTTTGTGAGCTGCAGAGTTGTGTTTAATACATTTTGTATGAGATTGTTTGAGAATAGCTTTTTTAAAGCAGTAGTTTTGCGAAAAATGAACATTAGACAGTTTTTCCCTTACTCAAAATGTAGTCAATCAGTCAAGACATATGTGATGTCTGACGTTTACTTCTGTATGTTTGCACTGAAGCTGTGAGGTTAATGTAGTTAACAAGAAAAGGAAGCCTATAACTCGATAGGGCTAACATTGCATCAATTGGTTAGTTGCGTAAGTGTGCAGACCCCCACAACTAATACTTTGTAATAATCAGTTTTCACACTTATTACAGCAGTAAATCTTTGTAAATAAATTTTTACACCAGGACTTAATTTTATCTTATCTTAGTTCTTGAAAAATAGTTTAGGCTATTTCTAATTCTAAATGTGGTCTTTTTTGACACTGGCCTTTTTAGCTCATTTCGCAGGTTTTAAGCTCTAACTGAGCCTAACACACTTTCTTTCTTTTTGAAACCACTGCTTGGTTGAACTGGATATGTGATTTGGATCATTATCATGATGGAACATGAAGCTCCTTTTCATCTGCATCATTCTGATAGAGGCCACTGGACTTTGTGCCAAAGTATGTTGATATTTGGAGCTAGTCATTATCCCATCTATCTTGATTAGAGCCCTTATCCGAACTGTCGAGAAGCAGCCCAAAACTTGATGCTCCCACTGCCATGCTTTAAATGTGTTGTTTAGAATTAAGGCCAAAATCGTTTAGATGGGCTTATATGGTCTTCCTTCAGCTTTGTTTAATGTAGATGTAGGCGTTTTCGTTGCCTCCCTGAAAACTTTTTTTTTTTCGTTCTGTCATCCACTTTTGAGGATTTTTCTGATGTTGTCAGAGGCTCTGTAGTCCCACATTTTTTCCAACTATTGAAGTGAGTCTTCAGTGCTTTAAGGTATATCCAGTGCTTTTGATATTCTTTGATACCATTCTCTTGATCTGTACCTTTTAACAGAAAGATATGGTAGATGTTTTGCTAGATCCTCATGGACCATAGCGATACCAGAAGAAAACAGTCATGAAAACATCAAGGAAATCCTAAAGAACAGCTACATTTTATTTTTTTAATGAGAATTGCTTTATTTGATGGCTGCTTATTTTTGGACATCATTTTGAATGTGACACAGTTACAGTCCCTATTATAAAATTATTTTCACTTATTTTTATTTTTTAAGAAACTACTATTCTAAGAAATTGTTTGAGCCTCAATTTAAATACACATCTTTTAGTTTTTAGGAGTCTTTCTTCTTTTGGTCTATATTCTCATCCAGTGTTGTGTAAATTGTGTGTGTGTGTGTGTGTGTGTGTGTCTGTCTGTCTGTCTTTACATGTTAGTTATAATAGACTACTCAACAGCTCGTCCTGTAATGACACTTTCAGGAGTCAAGTACCCAATGGGGTCGTTTCCAAGAACACCTCTCTCAGCAGCCTATCGGAGTGCACTGTTGAAGAGAGTCATTATGTAGCCGTGTGATGTGATTGGCCCTTTTTTCCCTTTTTTGGGGGGTCAGGAGGAAAAGGAGAGGTTCGTTATGATGTGCTCAAACCCCAGCTCTCTGTCTCTCTTCCTTTATTTCACTTTATTTCTTTCTCACTTTCTATTTCTCTGTGTCTCTCTACCTTAATTCTTTGTCTATTGTTCTTTCTTTCTGTCTCTATCTTTGTCTCACTCTCTTCCCCTTATTTATTTCATTTTTTGTCCCTTGCTCTCTCTCTCTCTCTCTCTCTCTCTCTCTGTCTATCTATCTATCTATCTATCTATCTGTCTGTCTGTCTATCTCCTTTGTCTATCTCTGTCTCTCTCTCCTTTGTCTATCTCTGCCTCTCTATATCTCTCACCTTCTTTTCTATTTTTGTCTCTTGTTCTCTTTCTGGCTCTTTATCTCTCATTTTCGTCTTTCGTTCTTTCTTTCTTTATTTCTTTCTTTCTTTCTTTCTTACTTTATTTTTTTCTTGCACTTTATCTTATCCATTCTCTTTTTCTCTCTCTCTCTGTATGTGTGTATATGTGGGGAGGGGTAGTATGTGGGAGTGTGTGCAACAGCCTGTGGAGACCTTACATAATCCCCCCTCCACACACACATACTGAAACAAACACTGCACGTATTGTACACAGCTAGCATTTTAAATTCTAATTTCAGCTCAGTTTCTTTTGATGCCTTATTGTTTCTTTTTGAACTTTATGCTTATTATTATCTTTCTCTTTTTTCTTTCTCCTTCTCTTCTGCCTGCTGTCATACAGTGTTCTCAAACTCAGTGTTACAACATTTTGAATCTGTTAATGTGTTGAGTGTATATGTGTTTGTTTATGTGTAAGGATGCAGATATGCACGTCTGTAAGCTACATGTTTGGTTTTTTCTTCCTCACTACTGACTCTAACCTGCTCTCTTTCTGTGTAGCTGTATCTTAATCCATGTTAAGGGAATACACACAAGCACAGTACATTAGAAAGAGCTCGGCCCAAATCCCCAAAGCATCATTTCATCTCCGCAAGACCATTATGCATGGCTCTGGAGATATTCTTTATGATTGTAATACCCTGCAAATGAAAACATTCTTTCATTCATACCCTTTCTTTGGTGTCCCTCCAGCCAAAGCTCAAAGACATAAGTGTTAATTTCACATAACTGAGCTGGTTCAGAGATGACACTGTGGAAGACATTTCTGTGGGAGTGTGTCTGAGTCTGAGGGGTTATTTCTGCACCACACTGTGCTAATGCTGAGTGAGAAATTATTGAACCTCTAGTGACAGATTGTGTTAGAGCCACCCATTCATATACACTTTAAATATACACATCTTTGCACCTCTTTTCTTATTTTTGTAAGCACAGAATTTGAAAATGGCAGTTGCCTTTTACACTGTATTAAAATTTCATGATAATTGGACCAATAGAAATGGTCCAAAATGACTTGGAATAAAATCTTGTCACATTAATGTCAGTTAACTTAAGTTAAGAACATTTTTTTCTGCTTCTGTTGAGTTACCATTTTGGAGATACAATGTTTTGTCCAGACAGTGACAATACAAATGTGCATATCGATGCTGTCAGAGCAAAACCTTGTATCTCCAAAAT